GAAAGAGTGAAAGAATTTAGAGGAGTATAGCTTTTACTTGTGGGGACACTTAAATTTAACTTACTGTCCCCCTTTCCATATATGCTTTTGTTTTGGATCAGAGTATAAACGGGAGAAGACTGTAGCTCCATGCCCCCACCAGGTCAAACCCACAGTGTTCCTGCAATTAACTAAGAGTTAACTCCTATATCCATTAAAGACTGGGTTTGAGTATTTATGAAACTAATCTCAAATGTGTTTGTGTTAAATGAGGTGAAAAATGTGTACTTCATGGGTAAGGGGGAAAATCCTTCCTTTATTATGGTTATTTGATCTTGGACTGTTTGCTTCCCAGTGACTGGTCACAGCTGTGACTGGGACTCTGCCAGCCGGCGCCGGAGTCGGAATTCACAGGGCTGCAGGATGAAAGCACCTCCGCTTCAGAGAAGATGGGCCTGGGTTTAATACTGACTCAGTGACATAACTGTGGCTTTAACCCCTTTAAGCCTCAGTTTCCTGATCTGCAGGGCTACTGTAACTGACAAAGATGACATATCCAATGCACCTAGCACAGCATCTGACATAAAGTTGAGCACATTCCCAGATGATGGGCCATTATTACATTCCTTTATTTGGCCCCACACTACTTCATGGCTTGTATGATGGTGGCTACTTTTTAAAAATATATTTTTAATGATTTCAGAGAGGAAGGGAGAGGGAAAAAGAGATAGAAACATCAGTGATGAGAGAGTCATTGATTGGCTGCCTCTTGCAAGTCCCACACCGGGAATTGAACTGTTACCTCGTGGTTCATAGGTTGACACTCAAATACTGAGCTATGCCGGCTGGGCAATGGTGGCTACTTTTGAGTCTAGGTTAAACCTAGGCCCATTTGCTAAAAGGCAGTTTAGCTTCTACATACGTGTGTGTGTGTGTGTGTGTGTGTGTGTGTGTGTTGCTAGTGTAAATCCTCACCTGATTCTCTGGAATTAGAAGAAAGAAACCAAAGTGGATATGAAAATAATATTGGCCTATGTTTATTGATCATCTAATTAAAGAAAAATAGTAACCTTTAAAATATCATGTTTAATTTAGAAAAAAGGATGAGTTTATCAAACAGAATTATGGAATTATTTAACCAATTTGTAGCCATTTTTCATTTCTTAAACAACGAGATCTGGAACACTGAGACATAGGTCCTCCCTCTCCTTCCCTCTCCACATCTTGCCCTCGGATCTAGGAATCTAAACTATGTAGGCCACATGTCTGTGCTAAGGAGAAGCCCTGGACTAAGAAGACAGAGACCTACATTTTCATTGCAGACCTCCTGCCAGCTATCATGGATCCGGGAAGGGAATTTTGCTCCATGGGCCTCAGTTTTCTCACATGTAAAATGACACTGATTCAGGAGCTTTCTCACACCCATTCAGCTCTAAAACTCCATTTATTCTATCACAAATCTCTACCTCATGCATTAACGTGATTTTAAATAAATTCCATGTCTGAAATGTCCTGCATTTCTCCAAGCCCCAGAGTTAAACACGTGTTAACTTAATTAAACGCCCGTCTTTGAAGGGAAATAATTTTTTTTTTCAAGCATGGATTTGCTAACCATCTAGTACTGTGGTTGGCAAACTGCAGCTTGCGAGCCACATGTGGCTCTTTGGCCCCTTGGGTGTGGCTCTTCCTAAGCCTTAGGAGTACCCTAATTAAGTTAATAACAATGTACTTACCTATATAGTTTAAGTTTAAAAAATTTGGCTCTCAAAAGAAATTTCAATCGTTGTACTGTTGATATTTGGCTCTGTTGAGTAATGAGTTTGCCGACCACTGATCTAATACTTTTGTAGCACTGAGGCTGGCAATATAAGTAGATAAAAAATAGAGGTATTCCTAGAAGGAGTTGATAGATGAACTGGAAACACCTTGAAAATAATTGCACCCAAAGTGGACTAGTTTACAACAAATTTATTATAAAATATCATAAAAGCAAGTGATATTTATTTATTTTATTTTTTTAAAAAATATATTTTATTGATTTTTTACAGAGAGGAAGGGAGAGAGATAGAGAGTTAGAAACATCGATGAGAGCGAAACATCGATCAGCTGCCTCCTTGCACGCCCCCCACTGGGGATGTGCCCGCAACCCAGGCACATGCCCTTGACTGGAATCGAACCTGGGACCTTTCAGTCTGCAGGCCGACGCTCTATCCACTGAGCCAAACCGGTTTCAGCAGCAAGTGATATTTATTAAGTACTTCTTATTGCTAGTACTACACTAATTTAGTCCTTGCTCTTAATCCGATAAGGTAAATGATATCATCACCCCGACATCACAGAGAAAACCAAGGGACCCAACAGGAAAGTGAGTTGTTCACAAAGGATTTAGAGAGGATATTTCACTTGCCCTAGAGCCCTGAGGTCCCCTTCTGGATCTGGAGGTTTAACTATTGAGAAAAAGTATAAGAGTGGTGTAGGGCGAGAGGATTTGGACTTTCTAAGCGGACTTGAATTTTAGTGAAAAGCAAAAGAAAAGAAAAGAAAAAAAAGTATTTTCTGAATTTGGCAGTTGGCATCTTCTAATGTCATTTATTGTAAATTTAACCTCTTTCATACAAGCATAAATTTTAAGCAGCCTAGGACCGAAGAGTTTTAAAATCAGAAAGCTTTTATTTCAGAAGAAAACAATAATCACATGATTGTGTGCTTTGGAGAAAACAGTCCAAAATGGGACTGGAATTGGGTCAAGTGTTGCGAATGGCTCTGCTGGTAGTGACTCTATTTGCTGGAGAATCCAGGCAGTTGTTTCTCCCTTTGGAAGGTTGTAGTCTCATTTGTATCTACTCGCCTTGTAGAAAGTGTATTCTAAATTGTGATTTGAGAATAGGTACGGTTCTCCTCCTTCCTGCCTTCACTAGAGGGTCTCAGGTGTGGCCAGGCTTGTGTTTATACAGACACTGGAGTTGTAAGAATGTCGGGACAGTTGGGATGTGTTACCTGGTGTGAAGTGAGCTGTGGGGGTACCAGCTGCCTTCATCCCTCCAGGGACAGGCAAACATTGTTGCCAGAGAAGAATCTGGCCCCCAGAAGAAGAAAAGGCCTCCTGCCTTGAGCCCTTTTCTCTCTGCTGCTGATTGTGCAAGCAGAACTGCATTCCTCCTCCCAGGCGGCTGCTGCTGCTCGGGGGAAGAGGGAGCTGCCTCGCCTCACTCTAACCCTCTGCTGGTGAGTTCCCAGGACCGGCATCCTGGAGGCTGCGGCTTCTCTTCTCTCCGAGGACATGGAGCCGCTCCCAGCCCTCCTTGATTAGGACATGTCAGGGTTGTCAGGGCAACTGCTAATGGCAGTGGATCCTGCTTTCCCCTCCGTGCTGTGTGCTGGATATTTTCTCGTGCGTTGTCAGGAAGAAGATTGGGCAAGGGTGCTGCCGCAGGAAGGAGAACCGGGGATCTGAGTGAACAGGTTCGGCAGTGGACGGAGGCATCTGAACCTGCGTGCCTTTCATAGGGCTTTTCTGGAAGGTGTGTGTGTGTGTGTGTGTGTGTGTGTGTGTGTGTGTGTGTGTGTGGATGTTTTGTGAGGTGTGTGTGTGTGTGTGTGTGTGTGTGTGTGTGTGTGTGTGTGTGTGTAAGAGAGAGCCAGAGCTAGCACATGTGCCTGTGGGGAGTCAGTGGGAGGGGGCTCTTAGGGGGGGTTGCAGCTAGGTGAGGGGGAACTGCAGGGCCTCAGTTGCCAACTGGCTGGTAGTATCTGTCAGCTGTCTGCACACTGTTTACCCATAGGAGATCTATTACAAGTGCTCAAATGATCGGGCAGCTTAGAAACTAGCAGCTTCCTGGGAGCTGCAATTACATAAGCATATATTTTTAATACAATAATAATTAAAAAACAAGTAGCAGCGGTATGCCTGGATCAGCTACAGCTTTCCGGCAAGAGAGGCTGAAGAAGACCAATGCAAGGCCAATTCCCCTTGGTTTATTCACCATTAATGAGGAAGATGAACAGCAAAAGAATGGAAATTCCAGAAGACCGAAAGGTATGCATTAGCTCTGCCCTTTGGTGGGAGCCAGCCCATTTCCCACGCTGCCGATAGCACATTTTACAAACTGTGTTGGTGGTGCATGCTGTGTGGAGTGTGTGCTTGTGACCTCCTGGCACACTTTGATGGTGTTATTGTGCATAGCCTTCCTCCAGGGCTGTGTACCTTGAAATGGGGAAGAGATTTTAGCAGATTTGGTAGGTTTCAGATCAGCTGCCTTTTGACAGGAGCTACTTTCCTGGCAGAGAGCTTTCATTTGCACATGATCACTTAAACAGTTACCAGGGACTCTGTCCTCCTCAGGGGGAGGAGATAGGAGTTATCAAGTTTGAAATGAACCTCTCCCCACCTTCCTTGGGCACATCAGGTGACTTTTGTTAAATGAGGTGAGTTTTCCCTTGAAAGGGATGAGGTAGATCAAGTGACCTAGGACTGCAGCCTTTCCATGGGCAGAAGGTCACGCTGTTATTTCCTTTTCTAGCCTGAAATGCCAAGAGCTCGAAGAGAAGGAAAACAAACAAGGAGCGCTACTGTAGGGGGCAAAGCCAGGGAACAGGGAGGGGACCATGAGGTTTGATCACTGCTGATGGTAACTTTGCTCCTGAACAGGAAGGAGAGGCCTGCTTCTTGTGCTATTTTGTGTGTTTGTTTCCATAATGATGAAATGCAGCGGCAGCTTGCCTGCTTCTCAAGGCGTGGGTACTGCATCCTCTTGGGCTTCGCCTCAGACCCATCCAGGCTGTGCACCACCAAGGCTGTAAATGTCAGAGGTGGCAACATCATGCATTTTTGAAGAAGGGCTCTAAGTCTTGCATGTTAAGTTTTCCAGTATCCTTGCAGTCCCCTTCCCTGAAAATATATAAGCTGTTCTCTTAAGTGAATACATATGCTTTGTTGTTTCTATGCGCTGATTAAATTTTAGCTTGCATTCAAATTGTTCTGTCACACAGAGATATCAAATTTTCCTCTGTGTGGTA